CTAATCACAATGATGCATTTTGACAGCATTTATGTATAAATATACCTATATAATTATTAATTTATCAAACATTTTGACTAAATTGCTCTTTTTTGGGCATTTATTCTGTAAATACGGAAGTTGTGCTCATTCTTCTTCCTGTTGGTGCGTTGTCATTTTTGTAAATAGACTCCAGAGCAGCTCCGGCGTCGAGCAAAAGATTCATCAAATTTTGGCGGATCTCGGTCCACTCGCTGCTCTGCACCATCATGAGGAGCCAGTGTAAAAACTGTCCTTGATTATAATGGTTGCATATTTACTGCAGAGGTTGGAACAGAGCAGAACAGCATAGTGTAAACTGAGGGTTAAGTTCTATCTCCCTCTGGGCCCAACAAGGTCCAGACTTACTCTGGGCACCGGCCGGGCCCGGGCCAGGGGCATGCCCTCCTCCCAGCCCCCMCTGAAGCTCCGCCTCTGCCTCTCTGAGTTCCACTGTGTACAGAAAGTTAATTTTTTCTTTTTCTCTCTCTTACAGGACTTTGCTTCTTCAGGACTCCTTGGCCCAGAGTATGCATCGCCTCCACAGTAACAGGCTTCAGACAGAAGAGATTGGGTCAAACTGGTTCGAACCCATCAAGCCAACCTGACCCTGAATTCTCTGAAAGTGGTTTTAACAGAAAAAAAAACAACTTTACAATCTGTTCTTTATGTCACTATCATCCTGTGAATCTTCATGTGACCAAATGGTATTATTACATAACTCAGAATACCTGAAAAACTGTTTTAAATGAAAATGTGAATAACTTTTCTAAAAACTTAGAAAGAGAATAGTTACTTTTATTTGTACACGATTTTCCCAGGCCACCATGTTTTACTCCTTCTCCAAAGCGGGACCATAATCTGCTCAGCATCAGCTTGTCTCAAAGGACCCCTTCACCCGGGTCGAAATGCACCAGCTGTTTAGTCAGGTGCTGGGCCAGAGAGACCTGTCCAGAGCAGGAGATTTGTTCTCTCTAGAGGACACGGACATCGAAGACTGTCTGTCTCAAGCTCTGGACCAGATCAAAGACATCTCCTGCTCACCGGTGAGTTTGACTTTTTGGCTTTTTCGCCAGGCGATCCACAAAAACATGATAATTCTGTAAATAACGTCAATGTAAAGGGTCATTTTAATTTTGCATTTTGTTATACGTGAATGACACGCTTTGTCCTTAATTTAACATTTTGCTGTTAATTTGGCATCCTGCTGCTGTCTGCTGGCGGACAGGACTATTTGACCAATGACAACGATCAGGCTGTGGTTGAGATCTGCATCACACGCATCACCACAGCCATCAGAGAGACCGGTTCCATCGAGAAGCACAGCAGGGCACTGGTGGGCCTGTGGGAGTCATGTCTGGAGCACAACCTGACCCCTCAAGGGGAAAACACAGAGGACACACCGCATGCGAAGATAGCCTCTGACATCACCAGCTGTATCCTACAGGTACACACACACACGCTCACACACAC